GTGTTAGGAAATTGTTGCATTCCTATGGAGTGACATCTGGGAGTGGTGATCTATGATCTAAATGAAGCCTAACTGAAGGCCAAGTGTAGAAATAAGGAAAACAATATAGATGCAGCTAGAAGTTCCATTATGGTGATCAACACTCCCTGAGGAGTTCCTTGACCCTCACCTGGGACTCCAAATGCCATTTCCTCCTGCAGCCCATTTCTGCACACCTTTGGGAGTGGTCTGATGGACTATATAGGTGGTGGACAGTAACTGAAGGCAGGATTCTGGAGAAGTAGCTTTCCTCGGTTAGTATCCACACTGTAGAGCTTTCTCAGCGATGCGGCTGTCTTTGACACAACCCAGCTCCTGTAAGTATGTCTTCACTTGTTCACCTCCAAGTTGAAAGAATTCATAATTTTATACCAAGCTACACTTGGATAAAATATTTTTTTGGTTTTATGTAGTACTTAGGGAAAAATCTATAGTATTTGATATAAAAGGCACAGGCACAGTAGACTCTTCCATCAACAGTCTGAGGAGAGCCATGTATGCTCCAGAGAAATGTAGCAATATTTAGGGTGTGTGTTGTCTCTATTGAAGTGGGGAGAACAAGGTATTCATATTACAAGCATCTCTTGTATAGAAACTAGGGAGATCTTGGCACAATCTCCAATGCTCAGGACAGCCTCAGGACAAGGTTCATCTCAAAGTCGGAAATTATCTGGAATGAGAACACAGAAGTCAATAGGTACAATTTGTCACAATTCCAGAATGAAGTAAGTAACCTTTTCTGGTTCCAGCTCACTGCTCTGGACAGACTGATTTGAACCAACTTAATGAAACTTTCAGTTCTCAGCCTAAGGTAGACAATATTTGCAGATGTGTGTCTTTACTCTCATGAGAACTTGGTTCAAACCAAGTGATCTTGTAAAAAGAAAAGAATGCTAGTGTCATGTACTGGCCTTTATATTTTTGATACTAATTGAATGTGTGTGTGTGTGTGTGTGTGTGTGTGTGTGTGTGTGTGTGTGTGTGTATCAACAATTACTGAGAAAAGAGGCTATGAACTTGAAAGAGAGCAAAGAGGGGCACATGGAAGGTTTGAGGAAAGGAATGTGAGGGGAAATGATAAAAACATAATTTCAAAAAGTTAAAGAAATATAAAAAACTGAATTTGTAACAACTAAGAAATTTATTTTATGGAATTTGAAACAAAAAGAGTAACATATCTAGACTTACAATATCTCTTCAGTAAGCAATAGAAGATGTGTGTGTGTGTATTTATCAAGTGTAAATAAATTCATGAAAACCTCATTTTCTTTGAAAAACTGAGATAATGTTAATTTTGACAAAAGTTTAATTTTATATTTAAAAAGGTTGGTTAACTAACTTTCACACTAAATAATTTTTCTGATATATTTAATTCTTTGAGATATTTGAGATTAGATATTTCCCATCAAATTGCTTCGATCAAAGGTTCTATGGATTTTAGTTTCTGAGACTCACAAGTTTTTTGTATCATTTTGGATTTTTGTTTTGGGAGGCTTTTTTCATATGTGTGTTTGGGTTTTTGCACATTTTCATTTTTATGTGTATACATTTGTATTATGTGTGAATGTATACATATTGTCATGCATGTGTATGATCCTTGGAGGCTAGAGGTCTATGTCAGGAATAATCTTTAATAGATCTATCTTATTTATTGAGGCATCTCAACTATAATCACAACTTACCCATGGGCTAATTTTTCTATCCAGCTTTCTGTGGTGATTCCCTATCTCTGCCCTTTAAGAAGGCTGGACTTAACAAGAGCCTCAACTTCCACCAGACATTTGCTTAGAGTTTGGGAATTGTAACTACAACCTTCATACCTTATGGCAGAAATTTTAACAACTATGCCCCAACTGGTCCTCATATTTTTATTTCTGAAAATCCTCTGTGGTAGTATCACTAAGGTTTAAAAGACTATTTAGCCAGGCAATGATGCCACATGCCTTTAATCTTAGCACTTGGGAGGCAGAGGCAGGGGTATCTCTTTGAGTTTGAGGCCAGCCTGGTGTACAAAGCGAGTTCTAGGACAGCCAGAGCTACACAAAGGGACTCTGTCTCAAAAAATAAAAAGAAAAAAGAGAGAGACAGACAGACAGAGAGATAAAGAGAGAGAGGGAGGGAAGAAGGGAGGAAAGAAGGAAGGTAGGTAGGCAGGCAGGCCTTTTTAATGTGGTACACACTTGATCTTTCCTCTTGAAAGGACAAATAACTAATGTTTTAGAGATCTATTGCCTGATGAAATCAGCACAGGTCATTGTCACAAGTTTGAAAAGTGGGTGTGATCAGAGCAGAGGTCTTAGCACCTGTCTGATCATGTCATGAAGGACAGAGCATTGAGGGTGATTTTCATAGTGGATAATGTTTGTTCTCCCAAGCCAGCTCAAATGTACTAAGCTGTATGAAAGAGGGCTCTGGAGCTAGACAAGGCTTCCCTAGACAGGGTGATGCATGTCACTTCACGTGGATAGACCATCTTTCTCTATGGCAGGGGCACTCCTGCTGCCACTATTATCAAGCATGCTTCTGTGGGAGAATGTGGCCTCTCTGCCCATGTGTGAAGTAACAAACGGGCATTGCCAGCTGACTCTTGAGTACTTGTTTAATCAAGCACGTGGCCTACCTGAGGACATCAACCGCCTCACCTTGGAAATGTTCAATGAGTTTGTAAGTATCTCACTTACTTCTGGCTTCTCCCAAGAGAAGCTTTCACAACAATATCGGGGTGGCACTACAGCTCAGTGAAGAAGCACTGCCATATGAATATCATATAACACACCTTCCCAGGCACAAGAACCATCTGTCACTGAAGCAGAACCAGAAGAATGGAACAGTTTGGTGAAATCTTTAAATTTAAGGAGGAAATAGTCTTTAAATGATTTTTTCTCTAAAAAAAAAAAATTTATATTTTTAGTTAAAAATTTTCCACTTATGACACAAAGCCCTATAATATTTGGCTGAAAAGAATCTCTGCCTTCCTTTTGGAGGAGCAGGGGACCAGTTCCCATCAGCATTTTTCACTTGGTGCACAGCAAATACCCAACAAAGCAGAATGGTTTGCAGGGGATAGCTTGAATTGAAGAGAGTTAAAATTAGAGACATAATGCTGGAAGAAGAAAATCAATAATGATAATGATGATATTAATAATAATGGCTTCTCAGAAATCCCCAAACGTGGGAGACATTGTAAGATGTGAGCTTGTCAATTTGAATGGAGGTGTTTTACAACTTCTGCCTTCTGGATGAAGGTTCTTTGTCCCTCTAAATCAGTTAAGGTGGTAACAACAGACAAGGACTTTAAACAATAAGGAGCTTGTAACACAAACTTGTGTGTTTGTCTTGTTTGTGTGATAAACATATTCCTATTTAATCACTGAAGTTCTCTCGTTCTGCAATCTTAACTGGCAATCTTTCAACTTGATAGAATCTCTATTAGTTCATTATCTTTACAGTTTTGCTCACTATAAAATTTTTAAAAATGTATTTTAAATAATATATTTAATAAAATATAATTTCAATAAATGTTAATAATATGAACTATTAAGTATATTATTTGTATTTTAGTTTTTTGGTATATAATATTTCTGGAAAATATTATGCTTGAGTTTTCTAATGACTGATTCTATTACAATTAGCAAATTGCAGTTTGAATTTTTAAGGAAATTTCTATAGTCAAGGTGTCTAGACTCAGTGATAACTTAAATAACAGGAAGCCAAGGGTTCACAAACTCAAATACACATTCATTGTGCCATTGATAGTCTAGGAAAGTGCATCATTGAAACACCAAGTGTTTTGTAATTTTGGTTTTTTTTCCTCCTTCTTTCAAATAATAACTTTTTAGAAAGCATGAAAAAACAAGGGAGGAGTAAGTCAGAGAAATCCATAGGCTCAAATGGAAGCTGGAAAGGTGATGTTACAGACCTGAAGCACTAACGACACTAAAGCGTCATTTTCCTCATTCCTAAATTGAAATATTTTATGTAGTGCTCATCCTTTAGACGTAAACACAGACCAAATGCTTTAATGTACTATTATTCATGGATTCATGGACTCAGTTCTCCAATTCACTGAATGTTCTCCTTATTTCCAGAACAAAGAATATTATTCAGATCCACGGGTCCTGAACAAAATCCCCCTGCACTTGCTATGCCACTCTTATTCCTTCCCTTTTCCAGATAAAACAACAGAAGGCCAAGAGATTCAGGTGAGTCCTTAGTGTAATTATCTCATCACATAAACTGCAGCAGCACACGGGCTCTGCCAAGCTTCAGGTCATTACAGGAAAAAGGAAGGAAACCGAGCAATCCAAGGGGAAAGCTCATGGTTCTCATCTGATGTTGTGCTGTGGGATGGTCTGTATGTCAAATGTGTTGCTGATTGGTCAATGAATAAATCACTGATTGGCAGTGGCCAGGCAGGAAGTATAGGCGGGACTAACAGAGAGGAGAATTGAGAGAACAGGAAGCTGGGTGAGGGAGACACTGGCAGCCGCCGTCAGGACAAGGAAGATGTAAAGTACCGGCAAGCCACAAGCCACGTGGCAAGGTATAGATTAATGGAAATGGATTAATTTAAGCAGTAAGAACAGTTAGCAAGAAGCCTGCCACGGCCATACAGTTTGTAACCAATATAAGTCTCTGTGTTTACTTGGTCAGGTCTGACAGCTGTGGGACTGGCAGGTGAGAGAGATTTGTCCTGACTGTGGGCCAGGCAGGAAAACTCTAGCTACAATGTTGCTGCCTTCTCCTTGGTCTTTACATCTTGGGAAATATCATAGATGTTTCACAGGAGGCAAATATGGCATTGGGTGCAAAGTTGACACATTATGGAACCTCCTAATAGTAACCATTATATACCTTCCCATCCTATTCCTTGACATAACCAATCTTAATGTTTTAAATTTAAAGTAATCAAATATGTACACGTGCCACACATGTATTCTGTGCTCTTTAATGATTTTGTACATCCGCTGTGCACATTCTGTTCATGTACTATGCATATCAATATTTGTAAACATGAGAGAAAGTAAAGGAAGATAATATCTAAAACAGTGAAAGAAGAGAATTTCTATTAAGATCTATTCCATGTCTAGACACTCACAAATCACTGTACTAACAGTTCTGCAAATGATTCTCAAAAAATTGTATAACACAAGCTACAAACACTACACTAAGTATCACATGCAATTCAACCTGCAGTTTTTTACATGTTTTAATGTGATGCTCAATTGTTTTTTCCTAGCCTGAGGTCCTTCTGAAAGTAACTATAGGCATGCTGGTTGGCTGGAACAACACCCTGAGTCATGTAATAATAGATCTTGTTGATCTGGAGTCAATCCCTGGTGTTGGTGCTTTCATATCTAAAATCAGAAAGATAGTTGAAGACTTCACAAAACTCACAAAACTTCTAAAGGATGTTAAGTCATTACTCAACCTGGTAAGTTCCTGCCTCTTACTACTGTGCTTTTCTCATTCATGAAGCTGTAACCTTGGTAGAAACAAATGCATTTGAAGTATCTCTCTTCTGGGAGAATGAAATTGAGGCATGTTAATAGACAGAATCATGCTTAAGGGGTTGTTATCAACTCCAATTTTCTCAAAGGTGTTTTACTCAGCAGCTTACAGCACAGGGTTCTCAGGAGACAGGAACTTCTCACAGTAATTTGGACAGTACCCTTCCTGGGCAGAGTTCACTCTCAGTCTCTTGAGATCTCAGCAGATCTTATCACACCATCCCTGATCTGACTGCATCTTAACCACAACATACAATCCTCATCATCTCTGTGGCTTTGTTTCCAGATATTAGATGGTGAGTAGATTTGATTGCAAGCAATAAAAGGAAAATGATGAACTAAAAAAATCAAGATGCACAAATGGTATCTCAGAGACAACAGCAAAGACATAGAAAAGGTCCTTCCTAGGAGAGTTGACACTAGATCTTCTACTGTCCTTCACTCAAACCAATGTCTACAGTCAAGTAGCAACTTCTGTCTATTTTTTGTAGAGACATTCTCCATCTAGGACCAGCTGCATGTCAAAAATATGTGTGGGGGTCTTGTGTCTAGTTCTTAGATAACTAACAGATCTACGGCCACCTGTTCTAGACTTTTGAAAATCCATATTTTGGGCTGAAGATTTCCTTTCATAATTTTCTCCCAAATCTTTATTCAACATTTAAAAGCACAGCAGAATAATAATTATTAACAGTACAATTAATAAATGCCTATCATTTGGTGGCTAGGTTCGGCTTGAATTTGAGGAAGATGAGGACTACCCTGCTTCAGTTGGATTGCCATCTTCACGTCGGTTAAACAATTCCTCTCGCCTTCTTTTCTATCGTATCCTCCTTGGCTGCCTGAAATATAATGCAGAAAAGGTTGTCACTCATGTCAATATCCTGAGATGTCAAATGGTCCATAGAAAATGTTAAGTCTGCATCCTATCTGTTCTGAAATGCTCAGAAACAAAAGGATGCTACAGTGACTCATCCCTCCAAACATTTTTGTTAATTTTATACCTTTTCAGTGTGTACTTAGGAATTAAGGGACTCTTCTTGGAGTATTAAAAACTGATGTTTTAAAAATATCCTGTCTGAAAAGATTAATTTGTGAAAGTTTCTCTTGTTCATTTACTAGCAAACATATAAAAAGCATTGAGATACTCCTATCAAAATCTGTCATAAGTAACATGTTTTTCTTGAAAATAAGATATTATACAACCTGACTCAGAATCACAGTGAGTAAATGCAAGTCAAGTGAGTAGACTCGATGAGTGAGATATTATTCTAGCAAGAATATAGAAGTCATTGGATACTTTTTGACAACTAGCATCCACCACCATGAGTCAATTTTCACATTGTACTGAGAAAAACCTACAAGTATTATGCACTTCAATATAACTAAGTTCCATGAAAGTATCAGTCTAGAAAGTGTTAGGATCCAAAGAGGAAAGAACTTTAGGTATCTGCAAGGGCTCATGCTCCTCTGAATTCTCATCTCTTCAGCATCATTGTAGATACAGCCAGATATTATCGTTACCCGGGGTCTGACGAGGCTTCTCCCAGCTAATTTTAACTTCATCTGTGCACTGCTTAGTACTTTTCCCTCATCTTCTGATGCTTCTAGTTACTTCCAGTTGTGATGATGTTATATTAATTGAAATCCAGAACTCTTCATTGCTTCTGTCCTTGCCAGAGTATTTCCATTTAATTGACATTATCACAATTGGATGGAAGATTAGAAGAAATAGGCAATTCTTTTTTTTGTTTGTTTGTTTGTTTCCGAGGCAGGGTTTCTCTGTGTAGCTTTGCGCCTTTCCTGGAACTCACTTGGTAGTCCAGGCTGGCCTCGAACTCACAGAGATCCGCCTGGCTCTGCCTCCAGAGTGCTGGGATTAAAGGCATGCGCCACCACTGCCCGGCTAAAATAGGCAATTCTTATACCATAGTCTTATGAGCTTTAAAAGCTGGCTGAGGGGTCCCCACTGGATCAGGCCCTCCGAATGGGTGAGACAGTTAATTGGCTTGATCTGTTTGGGAGGCATCCAGGCAGTGGGACCAGATCTTGTGCTCATTGCATGAGTTGGCTGTTTGAAACCTGGGGCCTATGCAGGATTGTTTGGCTCGGCCTGGGAGGAGGGGACTAGACCTACCTGGACTGAGTCTACCAGGTTGACCTCAGTCTGTGTGGAAGGCTTTGCCCTGGAGGAGATGGGAATGGGGGGGGGGGGAGGTTGGGGGCAAGGTGAGGGGGACGGGAGGGGAGAGAACAAGGGAATCCGTGGCTGATATGTAGAACTGAATTGTATTGCAAAATAAATTAAAATAAAATAAAAAGGTTTTCAAAACAAAAAAAAAATATCTTCAAAGCAAAGATTCAGTTTCTCCAAGAAGAAAAATAATTGCCTCTGGCCAACAGCTTCTATGCACACTTGTGAGTTACAATCTGTATGGGGTATTTCCTTTTCTTCATCTTGAAGGCCTTCACTACAGAGGGAAGATTCTTCTTTCAGGCAGTTGATATCTAATCAATTTTTCTATTAAAATATCTATGTGTGTAAAAAAAAAAAAAAAAGCTCTCAACTAAATGCCCTCTTAGTGACAGGTACCTCTCTCATAGAACATACTAATGAGTGCAAAAGATTATTACAAATTGGTATCCCTTGGGATAAAGTACCTTATCATGAAAGCCTCCCTAGCTAGATTCTCCTACTCCTCAGCACTGCCCTTTGTGACCTCCTTACCGTCTCTGCTTGTTGTCCCATTGTTACAAAAACCAAAGTGGTTCAAAGAAGTTTATCTACCAACTGATTCATAGGAACTGATGTATCATAAGCACTCACTTCACAGTCATAGATCTGAATGGCTGCTGATGTCTCCATTAGTTTTCTAAGAATTCCTCTTTTTCTTCTCTACCTATGGATACAAAATATATCAGTAAGTCAAATACGTTAGAACTAATTTACCTGAAGAGTGAAATGCAATTCTTCCCTTGATTTCAACCTTATGTAATTTTCTTTATTAACAATTAACCCGCCCATACACACAGATATTCTCATTAAGGTCACAAATTATAGCACCCAAATTCGCAGCTTCAATCCCTAATGTCCATGTCCTCAGTGTGAAAAAGCATGATGGGAGAGGGTATTGCAACCCATTAACTGCCTCAAAGCAAGTGAGAGCCTTTGCTGATTTCAATGCTAGACCTCCTTGAAAGTGAGATTATCCAGCTGTCTTTCTACACCAAAGAATATATGGAAAGAAAAAAAAGAAAAAAAAGATTACAAACCCTAAAATGGGTGAGAGACAGAATGTGGAGTTTAATTGTCATTGAATTACCAAACTCAAGGAAACCTAAATAAATCTATTGTTATTTTTAAACCTAATCTTAGATACCATCCTATGTTCTCCTTTACTTCCCTTCTCCCTAGCTTTACTGATAATTTCAATTATACTGAAATATTCTTTGCCTTAATCTGTTGAATTACTGTAGTTCTAGGGCAAGCAATACTAGATGATTCTGTATATAAATATTCAAGAAAATCTACCATATACCAAAATTGCCAAATTTGCTGGAGCCTTGCCAAGCTAACCTTCTTCCCTCAAACCTAGTGTGGTGTTTTCACTCTCATTCCTACTCCTGCCTTTGACTGCAATGATTTAAATATCTCTGCATAGTACCATACCTTAAACTGATCTATGACCTCTTCAGTGCATGTAAAATGTCACCTCTCTGCTATAATTCAGTCTGTTCCCATCAAAGTTGGGAGAGTTGGTAAGATTCATGGATGTTTTAGATCCAAGTTATTGGTTTTCCAATGCATTGAGTATATGTTTCCCACTTAACTTGTTTCATATCACCTTATATATATTTCTAAAACAGAGCATGGTAAAATATCAGAGGGGAAATTTGACAGTGTAATTTTATAAAATGCAATTTTCAGAGTGTTTTTAACAAGCATGAATACTAGATGTGGGTAAATCACTGAGGAAGTGGGGGTAAAAAGCTTCTGTTCAGTAGAGACATTCCTTGAAATCAAGGTTTCAGGGGAGACTAGTACAGATATAAGTGTTTTATACAGACAATGAGCAGTAGCAGAGGACTATAACAATGAGCTACCCATACACAGAGTCTCTTTCCTTCTCCTGCTCCTTCTTTTTCCTTCTTCATCCTTCTCTTCCTTCTTTAGATTTCAACATAAGATAAAATTTGAATAAAAATATCCTTTCATAGCCAGAAAAACAACAGTACTGTCAAAACAAAACAGAATGAAAGCAAATGTAGAAATTGATTATTTGCATAAAATACCAAATCATCCCTCATGGGCACCGCAAAGACCAATTTCCCTCATGAACATTGATGCAAAAATACTCAATAAAATACTGACAAACCAAATCCAAGAACCCATTAAAAAAATCATCCACCAATGATCAAGTAGGCTTCATCCCAGAGACACAGAAATTGTTTAATATATGAAAATCTATCAGTGCAATCCACCATATAAACAAACTGAAAGGAAAAAAAAAAAACCACATGATTGTAGTTGAAAGTTTTCTCCAGTCCTGCCCAGCCCCATGGTCCCACAGCTGCTTATAAAATAATCACTCAGGGGCTTAATATTATTTACAAACTATATGGCCTATGGCTCAAGATTCTTGCTAGCTAGCTCTTATATCTTTTTTTTTTTTTTTTTTGATTTTTCGAGACAGGGTTTCTCTGTGTAGCTTTGCGCCTTTCCTGGAACTCACTTGGTAGTCCAGGCTGGCCTCGAACTCACAGAGATCCGCCTGGCTCTGCCTCCCGAGTGCTGGGATTAAAGGCGTGCGCCACCACCGCCCGGCTAGCTCTTATATCTTAAATTAACCCATTTCTATTCATCTATGCTTTGCCACGTGTTTCATGGCTTTACTAGTCTGCTGGCATATTGCTCCTTGGGTGGCAGACTGGTGCCTCTCCAGACTCTGCCCTTCTCTTTCCTGTCTCTTGGATTTCCTGCCTGCCTCTAAGCTGCCTTGCCATAGACCAAAGCAGCTTATTTATTAACCAGTGGGAACAGCATATACTCACAGCATACAGAAAGACATCCAACAGAACATGATCATCTCATTAGATGCTGAAAAAGCTTTTGACAAAATCCAACACTCCTTCATGATAAAGGTCTTGGAGAGATCAGGGATACAAGGAACATACTTAATATAATAAAAACAATATACAGCAAGCCAACAAGCCAACATCAAATTAAATGGAGGGAAACTCAAAGTGATTCCACTAAAATCAGGAACAAGACAAGACTGTCCACTGTCTCCATATCTATTTAATATAGTACTCAGAGTTCTAGCTAGAGCAATAAGATGCCAAAGGAAATCAAGGAATACGTATTGGAAAGGAAAAAGTCAAACTTTCACTATTTGCAGATGACATGATAGTATAATTAAGTGACCCCAAAAATTCTAACAGGGAACTCCTACAGGTGATAAACATTTTCAGTAATATGGCAGAATACAAGATTAACAAAAAAAATCAGTAGCCCTCCTAAATGCAAATGATAAATGGACTGAGAAAGAAATCAGAGAAACAACACGTTTTTCAATAGCCACAAATAATATAAAGTATCTTGGAGTAACTCTAACTAAGCAAGTGAAAGACCTGTAATACAAGAACTTTAAGTATCTGAAGAAAGAAATTGAAGAAGATAACAGAAAATGGAAAGATCTCCCATGCTCATGGATAGATAGAACCAGCATAATAAAAATGGCAATCTTACTGAAAGCAATCTATAGATTCAATGCAATCCCCATCAAAATCCTAACATAATTCTTCAAAGACCTCAAAAAAACAGTACCCAACTTCATATGGGAAAAAAAAAACAGAATTCTGGTGATATATTGTATACCCAAATAAAGTTTGCCTGGGGATCAGAGGACAAAACCAGCCATTATAGAAAGCAGGACCCTAAGAAAGACACAGGGATCACCCAATGACAGAGAAATGAATGAGATCTACATGAACAACCTGGACGTGAGTGGGGGTAATGAAGGGCAAGGGTCGAGGGAAAGAGAGCTTAGGGGAGTGGGAGATCTCAGCTGGATCAAGAACAGAGAGGGAGAACAAGAAATAAGAGACCATGATAAATGAAGACCACATGAGAATAGGAAGAAGCAAAGTGCTAGAGAGATCCACAGAAATCCACAAAGATATCTCCACAATAGACTACTGGCAATGGGTGAGAGAAAGTCCGAACTGACCTACTCTGGTGATGGGATGGCCAAACACCCTAATTGTCATGCTAGAAACCTCATCCAATGACTGAGGGAACTGGATGCAGAGATCCACGGCCAGTCCCCAGGTGGAGCTCCAGGAGTCCAATTGGTGAGAAAGAGTAGGGTTTGTATGAGTGAGAACTGTTGAGACCAAGATTGGAAAAAGCACAGGGACAAATAACCAAATGAATGGAAACACATGAACTATGAACCAATAGCTGAGGAGCCCCCAACTGGATCAGGCCCTCTGGATAAGTGAGACAGTTGATTAGCTTGAACTGTTTGGGAGGCATCCAGGCAGTGGGACTGAGGCCTGTCCTCAGTGCATGAGCTGGCTGTTTGGAACCTGGGACTTATACAGGGACATTTAGCTCAGCCTTGGAGGAGGGGACTGGACCTGCCTGAACTGAATCTACCAGGTTGAACTCAATCCCCAGGGGAGTCTTTGCCCTGGAGGAGATGGGAATGGAGGGTGGACTGGGGGGAAGGTGGGGGGGGGCGGGGTGTAGAACAAGGGAATCCGTGACTGATATGTAAAGTTAAATTAAATTATAAGATAAAAAATACAAAAAAAAAAGAACAAATAAAGAAAAACATAGAAGTCAGGCAGTGGTAGCACACACCTTTAATCCTACCACTCATGAGGCTGAGATCTGTCTGGATCTCTGTGAGTACAAGGCCACACTGGGCTACAGAGAGAAACAGAGCCAGGCAGTGGAGACACATGTCTTTAATCCCAGGAAGTAATGTGGCAGGACACAGAAAGGTATATAAGGCATAAGGAAACAAGTACTTTCTCTCTTCAGGCTCAGGATTTTGTAGAGGTAAGAACGTGGCTGGCTTTTTCTGTTTCTCTGTTCTTTCAGCTTTCACCCCAATATCTGGCTTCACGCTGTTTTTTATTAATAAGATCATTTAGCAATTCGTGTTATATAGGATAGCTAGAGCAATTCTGTATAATAAAGGAAATTCCAGAGGTTTCACCATCCCTGACTTCAAGCTCTACTATAGAGTTATAGCAATAAAAACAGCTTGGTATCAGCATAAAAACAGATATGTGGATCAATAGAATCAAATTGAAGGCCCTGATATAAATCCACACACCTGTGAACACCTAATTTTTTACAAAGAACCCAAAATTATACAATGGAAGAAAAGAAGCCTCTTCAACAAATGGTGCTGGCATAACTGGATGTCAGCATGTAGAAGATTGTGAATAGATCCATATCTATCACCCTAGCTATACTTTAATTTTATGCATTGGCACAAAAGACAACTTCCTGAATAAAACACCAGTAGCACGGACACTGAGAGCAACAAGTAATAAATGGGACCTCCTGAAACTGAAAAGCTTCCGTAAGGCAAAGGACACTGTCAATAAGACAAAATGGCAGCCTATAGAAAAAGAAAAATTCTTCACCAACTCCACGTCTGACAGAGGGCTGATCTCCAAAATATATAAAGAACTCAAGAAACTAGACATCAAAATGCCAAATCATCCTATTAAAAATTGGGCTACAGAGCTAGACATAGAATTCTCAACAGAAGAATCTCAAATGGATGAAATACACTTAAAGAATTATTCAACATCCTTAGCTATCAGGGAAATACAAATCAAAACAACTTTGAGATACCATCTCACACCTGTCAGAATG